GCAACAAGAGATGTTGGCAAAGATGCAGAGGGAAAGGAACCCTTATGCACTGCTGGTGGGAATGCAAACTGGTGTAGCCACCCTGAAAAATAGTATGGAAGCTCCTCAAAAAATTAAAAATAGAACTACCATACGACACAACAATTGTACTACTATTCTGGAATTTATCCAAAGGATGCAAAAATTCTAATTTGAAGGGGCACATGCACCCCAATGTTTATAGCAGCACTATCAACATTAGCCAAATTATCAAAAGAGCCCAAGTGTCCATTGACTGATGAGTAGATAAGGAAGATACACACACACACACACACACAATGGATTATTATTCAGTGATCAAAAAGAATGAAATCTTGCCATTTGCAACAACACGTGGTAGAACTAGAGTGTATTATGCAAAGCGAAATCAGTCAGAGACAAATACTATCTTTTTTCACTTGTGGAGTTTAAGAAACAAAACAGATGAAAGTAGGGAAGGGAAGGAAAAAAGAGGGAAGGGAAGGAAAAAAGATGAAAACAGAGAGGGAGGCAAATCATAAGAGACTCTTAAATACAGAGAACAAACTGAGGGTTGCTGGAGGGAATGTAGGTAGGGGGGTGGGCTAAATGGGTGATGGGCATTAAGGAGGGCACTTTTTCGGATGAGCACTGGGTGTTATATGTAACTGATGAATCATTGGGCTCTACTCCTGAAACCAGTACTACACTGTATACTAACTATATTTAAATAAATTAATTTAATTTAATTAAAAAAATAATAAGATATTTTGGAATAAATTTAACCAAGGAGGAGTCAGACTTGTACACTAAAAACTACAAAATACTGTTGAGATAAATTAAAGAAGACTGAGATAAATGGAAAGACATCCCATTTCTGGGTGTTGATCTTTTATCCTGCAATTTCCCTTTGAATGTTTCTAGAAAAATTTTTTTCAATTAGGCTCTCTAACTTGTAGATGTAAAATGGTTCATATACTTCTCTTCTGTTTTTTAAACTTTCTGTAAAGTCAGTTGTAATGTCTCCACTTTCATTTCCGATTTTAGGAATTTGAGGGTTTTTATAGGAATTGTTTTTGAGGCAGTCTAGTTAAAGTTTTCTCAGTTTTGTTGATCTTTCCAAAGAAACAACTTTTGGTTTTGTTGGTTCTTTATATTGTTTTTCTGTTCTCTATTTTGTTTCTGTCTCTTCTAATCTTTATTATTTCCTCTCTTCTGCTAGCTTTTAACTTTAGCTTGGTCTTCTTTTTCTAGTACCTAAGGTGGAAATTATGGTTATTGATTTGAGATATTTCTTTTTTAAAACGTTTATTTATTTATTTTGAGAGCTAGAGAGCGGGGAGGGGAGGGGCAAAGAGAGAGGCAGAGAGTGAGAATTCCAAGCAGGCTTCACACTGTCAGTACAGATCCTGATGTAGGGGTCAAACTCACAAACCATGATATCATGTCCTGAGCCCAAATCAGGAGTGGATGCTTAGCCAATTGAGCCACCCAGGTTCTAACCAACACCAGCCAGTTTCTAACCAGCATTACTCTTATTCTATATGTAGGAAGAATGTCTGGTTTTGGAGCAAAGAAATGAAGACTTCATAACTCCAGCATTATTGTGGTGGCACATCTGACAGAAAACCTGCCAGGTCACCTTGAATGCAGGTGTAGGCACCTAGGTGGGGGTCATTCCCTGTGATGTGCATGTTGAATGAGGATGGGAGCACCAGGCTTGGCTGGGTCCCCAGGGCTCCTCACTGACCTGGGTGAAGTATTGACAGTTATCCTGGGCTCTGTGTCATTCCCATGGACTCTGCCCTCCCTCTTTCCCATGTCTTATCCTTTAAGTTTTGATATGTTGTATTTTTGTTTTTACACATCTTTCTAATTTTCCTTGTGATTTCTTTTCTATCCATTGGTTGTTTAAAGGTGTATTGTTTAATTTGCACCTGAGAAATTCCCAAGTATCATTCTGCCATTGATTTCTAATTTCATTCTGTTGTCAGAGAAGATAATTTCTAAGGTTCCAATCTTTTAAAATTTATTGAGGTTTGTTTTGTGCCCTAACTTATTGTCTCTACCAGAGAATGGTCCTGTGCACTTGAGAAGAATGTGTATTTTGCTATTGTTGGGTGGAGAGTTCTGTTAGGTCTGGGTGGTTTACAGTGTTATTCAAATTCTCTCTCTCTCTCTCTCTCTCTCTCTCTCTTTTTTTTTTTTTTACTGATTTTCTGTATAGTTGTTCTATCCACGATTAAAAGTAAGATAGTGAAGTCTCCAACTTTTATTGTACAGCTTTTTCTATTTTTAATCTTGTAAATTTTTGCTTTATATATTTTGGGGCTCTTTTGTTAGATGTATATAATTCTATAATTGTTTTATCTTCTCTAGGTATTGACCCTTTTCTCAACACACAATGTCCTTCTTTGTCTCTTGTAGGAATTTTTAAAGTCTATTTTGTCTAGTACCAGTATATCTGCTCTATTTTGGTTCCTATTTGATGGAATATCTTTTTTCCCCATCATTTGACTTTCAACTTAGTTGTATCTTTGGATCTCAAGTAAGCCTCTTATAGACAGCATATAGTTGGATTTTTTTTTTAAAATTCATTCTGACAGTCTCTGCTCTTTGGTTGGACAATTTAATCCATTTGTATTTAATGTAATTGCTTATATGGAAAGACTTCATTCTACCATTTTACTATATGTTTTCTATATGTCATTTTTTGCTCCTCAGTCCCTCTATTTTTACCCTCTTTTGTGTTTAACTGATTTTTTTTGTAGCATGCCATTTTTATTCTCTTCTCATTTTCTTTACCCCATATTTTTTAGTTATTTTTTTTAGTGGTTACTCTGGTATAATGGGATGAATAGTGTCTCCTAAAAATTTATATTCACCTAGAACCTCAGAATGTGATCTTATATAGAAATAGGGTCTTTGAAGATAAATTAATATGAAGTCATATTGGCTTAGAGTGGACCCTAAACCAATGACTGGTACCCTGAAGAAGAGAAAACAGAGACCACAAAGAGGGAAGAATGCCATGTGATGACTGAGGCAGAGATTAGAATTATGCTTCTATTAACCAAGGAATGCTGAATATTCTTGGCAACCACCAGAAACTACAGAGAGGCAAGGAAGTATTCTCCAGAGCCCCCATGGTCATGGTCCTGTCAATACCTTGATTTCAGACTTCCAACCTCCAGAACTCTGAGAGAATTTCTGTTGCTTGGGTTATCAAGTTTGTGGCCTGGGTGTTATAACAGCCCCAAGGAACTAAAACACTTGAGTATTACAGCTGACAACAAACTAGTTTGAATTAATACCAACTTAGGCTTAATAGTATACAAAACTCTGCTCCTATACAGCTCATCCTTCCTCCTTTATGTTATTGTTATCCAAAATTACATCTTTATATGTGCCTTGAGTTCCATTAACATAGATGTACAATTACTGTTTTGTGCATGTCTTTCAACTTATACAGGAAAAAAGAGGAATTATAAACCAAAAATATAATAATACTAGTTTTAATTTACTTATATAGCTACCTTTACTGGTGTCCTTTTTTTCTTTGTATGGCTTTAGGTGTCTAGTATCTTTTCACTTCATCCTGAAGAACTAGCATTTCTTGTAGGGTAGGTCTACTAGTGGTGAACTCCCTCAGCTTTTGTTTATTTGGAAAGCCTTAATTTCTTCTTAATATTTGAAGGATAGTTTTTTTCAATATAGAATTCTTGGTTGATAATTTTTCTTTCAGCTCTTTAAATATTCTATCCCAGTGCCTCCTGGCCTCCATGTTTTCTGATAAGAAATTGCCCTTAACCTTATTACAGGTCTCATATATATGATGAGTCTCTTTTCTTTTGCTGATTTAAAGATTCTCTCTTTGTCTTTGTCTTTTGGCAGCTTGATAATAATGTGTCTCAGTGTGACACTCTTTGCATTTATTCTCCTTGGAATTTGTTGAGCTTCTTGATTGTGTAGATTCATCTAATTTATGGAGCTTTCAGTCATTATTTCAGTCATTATTTCTTCCAATAGTCTTTCTTCTCTTCCCTCTCCTGTCCTTCTGGGACCCCTGTTATGGATATGCTGGTATGCTTGATGGTCTGCCATAGGTCTCTTAGGCTCTGTTAAATTTTCTTCATTCTTTTTAAATTGTGTTTCTCACACTGGATAAGCCCAATTGATCTATCTTCAAGTTCACTGATTCTTCTGCTTCAATCTGCTGCTAAACCCATCTAGTGATTTTTCATTCCAGTTATTGTACTATTCAGCTCCAGAATTTCTATTTGGTTACTATTTATGATTCCTGTCTGTTTATCTCTTTTCCCTTCATTAATGGGAAAAGAGTAAGAGGTTGAATCCTAGTGGCAACCACTGAAAGTATTCTGTCTGGGCACTACTGAAATGCCTACAGTAGCTGCCCACACCATGTTCCTTTTTAGCTGGGACCAGTGCTTCTTGGAGTCACCTTAGTAGGAAATGATCAGGGAAACATTGCCTGCTCTTCTAGACTGATCATAAGGTGAGGCAGTCTGACAGCATTAGAAATACCACGGGCTTCAGAATTCAAGTCCTGGTTCTACCACTTCCTCATCGTATCATGTGGGGAAGATCATTTCTCTGCACCTTGGATTCCTCATCTCTAGGGTGGCCAACTTGTCCTGGTTTGCCTGGGACCTTCCTGGTTTTAGCACTTAAAGTCCTGTATCCCAGGAACCCCCCACCCCCAAGACACATGAAGACCCTACTTATCTATGAGATGGAGATAATACTACCTATCACAGGGTGGTTGTAGGGAATAGAAAGAAGATACAAGAAGGCACCTGGTGCATGGTTGGGTTCTCTAGTAATTTAGTTGTTACTTATGCTAAGCGCAGGGAGGGTCTTTGAAGATTGGGAATGATGCAGCAAACAGCTATCATTTTCACATATAAACTTACTTTCCACGGAGCACCTGAAAGCAAAATCTGGAAAGCTTTCTGCTAATTCTCCTTGACCATTTCTGCCAGCTATCCCTCTGGAAATATCGCCATGTGTCAGATCCCCACATGCTGCAGAGGAAGAACCATCACCTGCCTCTTTAATGACACACCCAGCTACTCCTTTCTGGCTCTGTTCAATGCTGAAGGCCAGGGCTGTGTTCACTACAACCTGAAGGCCCGGTGAGTGGGTTGGCGGAATCCTCGCTCCATAGAAGTATCTCTGATGGTGACAAAGGGAGGCACCATGGGAAAAGGAGGGACCATCAATGTCCAGAGGTCTAGGATGGCAATGAGACCAGACTAAAGTGGGGCCTGCAGGGATGTAGGTATTTTAATGCCTGGCCTTTGCTTGCTGGATCCATGTCATAGCAAAAGAGAGGCACAACTCCCCAAGTCCTACTCCATTTATACCCCCAGGGCACTAAGATCTTGATTATTGACTTGGATAGAATTCATAGAAGAATTATTTAGAGGAGAAAAATGTTTTATACCAGGGGTACGTGAAGGAGAGGCCATGGGTACCACTTCCGTGGGGTCTTTTAAAAGGCATGTATTCTTGTCAGCCAAAAGTTGATTTTATTTTGGCCTTTCATGAGGAAGTGTTCCAGAAGTAATGACTCTTGTGTTATAGATGTTCCAGTTCCCATTTTGGCACCTGTATGCTCAGGCTTTTGGGCAATGGGACACACATTCCATTTCTTCCCCTGTTGGGTTTGGCTTGAACCTCCATCATCTCTCAGACCTGCCCTTTCCGACAGTCATTCCAGTAGCATCAACAGGTGAAAGGGCCTATGACCGTATTAGGCAGAGGAAGTGAGGCTGCCTTCTGGACTTCATGGTTCCTCCAGACTAAGACAGAGTCTCAGAGCCCTGCCTGCCTGTAGCCTGTAGTGATAAGGACTTCCTTCAGGCGCCTGGCATCAACTTCTCACCTCTGCATTTCTCCTAGTTGCCCATATGTCTTGATCTTGGATGAGGAAGGTGGGACCACCAATGACTACAAGGGCTACGTAGTCCACAAATGGAGCTGGTCTTCCAAGACAGAGACTTTGCTCTCCCTGGAGTATAAGGTGGGCATGGACAGCACAGGTGGGGTGGCTTTGGCAGCCTTCCTCAGACTACCCAGGATTAAGAGTCAGAGTGCTACCTGTAAGACAGGTGCTTTGCCCTCAAGGAGCTTGTGGTCTCATTCAGGGTTTCTCCACCTGGTGAGCGGTGGTTGAGAGCTGGCTGAGATAAACTTTTCTCCAGTCTACTAGTGGCCACTGTACTGACTTTTCTTAGTAATATCCACCCTGTTTTATTTTTATTTTTAATATTACTACATTTTTATGGTTAAAATGCCCTTTACTTTATGAAGTAATTGTTATAGTAGTTGATATCTTTATTTTTTGTGCCTATACATGGCAGTAAGAAAAGCAGCAATTCTATGTGGGTCTGCCCAGTTTCTGCTTTTACAATGTTATTATGTCATGAAATTAAAAAACTTGCAAGTCAAAGGTGGCTGACGGACACAGGCCCTTCTTTATTACTCATTTGATTGTTTGGACAGCCACTCATCAAAGATTCATTAAATAAATAATTAGTGTGGAATTACTAATACTAAATAATAATGATAAATTTTATTTATTAATATAAAGTAACTAAATGTGCTTGTTACCTCATCTAAAGCAGTTTCTCGTCCTTGGTAGACCTGAGATTTTGGGATGGATAAGTCTTTGTTACAACTATGCACTGTAGGATATTTATCAGCATTCCACTAGATGCCAGTACTACCCCCTCCCCAAACTGTGACAACGAAAATTATCTCCACACATTGCCACATGTCTCCTGGAGGGGAACATTGCTGTTGATCGAGAATCACTGAGATAGGGAGAGAAAGATAATCAAAGCCCCTCAAGGAATCCCAAAGTCCAGGAGAGTAATAGGAACACAGAATAGAGAAGAATAAGGTCTGTGAGAGAGAAACAAGCTCATAGGGTTGGGATTCAGAGAAAGATCATAGAACATAGAATACACTCAAGGTGACCAATATTAAGAGCCCCAAGGTAAGGGTTATATACAGAAGTACTCTTGGAGTATGTCGTGGGGCTCAGGCACCCTACCCCTAATCGTCTGTCTCATGCCCTTCTTGTTTATCCTCTATATTGGCCACTAGATTCTCATCCTTATATCCTAATTCCCATAGGTCACACCTCTGCTCAGAAACACTCCATCTCTTAAATATATCTCATCCTTCCTATTCCCTTGGCCTGAAGTGTTCTCCCTCCTCTCTCTGCCAATCCAAATTTCCCCTCCTTCACAGCCCTGCTCATACTTCCCCTCCATCATGGTACTGCAGCTCACATCCATTTCTCTCTTCTCATAGTATCTACAGTCTGGGTTAGTTATTTGATAATTAGTCATATAGTGAAGAGGTTCTCAGCTCTGGTTGTTTATCAGAATCACCTATGGAACTTTTAAAAAATGCATAGGGGCGCCTGGGTGGCTTAGTCGGTTAAGCGTCCGACTTTCGCTTAGGTCATGATCTCGCGGTTCGTGGGTTCGGGCCCCGCGTCAGGCTCTGTGCTGACTGCCAGCTCAGAGCCTGGAGCCTGTTTCAGTCTGTGACTCCCTCTCTCTCTGACCCTCCCCTGCTCACGCTGTCTCTCTCTCTCCTAGAAATAAATAAAAAACATTAAAAAAATTAAAAAAAAATGCATATCCCCAGGCACAGCCTCAGAGAGATTCTGATTTAGGTGGTCTGTTCTAAGTGCTAGATTTCTATAGTTTTCACTAGTACTTCTGATGCTTGGCCAGGTCTCAGATTGTCAATCTAGGAGTGTATTGACTTGTCTTAATATTAAACTTTTTGCAGCTGTATGAAAAGTTTATAATCCATAAAGATTATACATTGGTTGCAGACAGGCATCATGTTTTATGTATCGTGTGACCAAGTAGACAGAGAACTGGAATGAGAGTCTGAGAAGCCATGTATAGTGCCAGCTTTGCCAGAGTCTGGCTGTGAAGCTTTGTGAAAATCACTTAGCTCCTCTGAGTCTTAGTTAACTTTCCAATACAAAGTGCTTTTGTGGGAACTAAATGAAATAATGGCGGGGAAGTTGCTTTGACATCACTAAAGTGTTTTGGCAGTGTAGTTCAGTCATTGTTCTGTCCCCTGGAGCTGCATCCAGAAATGTACAACAAGGGCTGGTGCAGTCAGGGGTGGCTTGAAAGATGAGGTGTCCCTTGCATTGTGACATGAACATGTGTGCACATGATTCATGTAGGTAGAAGAAGGAAGGGAGAGCATTCCAGGTAGAAGGAATAGCAACTGTAAAGGCTTGGATTTGGGACTCTGTGTGGCATCTTTAAAAGTTCACAGGTGCTTCTTGTAAAAGAAAGGGGGAGCAGGAAGAGGTGTATATTCTGTGGGGTGGAGGTAAGAGGTGTTGGGTGTCAGGCTGAGGAAATTGCTTATTGTCTTGCAGACTGTACTGGACAGTTTGTTTTCTCTCAGATATTTACCATTTCCAGCATTTTTCATTCCTCTGAAAATTCAGGTTTCCCTACAGTATCACTTCTTTTCAGCCTGAATAAGTTCCTTAGTATTTCTTGAAGTACATATCTGCTGGCAACAAATTCTGTTTGCTTTAATGTGAAAAAAAAAAGTCTTTATGAAAGGATATCTTTGCTGGCTATGGAGTTCTGGGTCAATAGAATATTTTTTTCCTTCCAGCATTTTGAAGATGCTTTTCCACTGTGTATGTCCTCCAAAGTTTATGATGAGAAGTCTATAGTTATTCAAATCATTGTTCATTTTCTCTAGCTGCTTTCAAGATTTCTTCTTTACTTAAGTTTGACTATGATGTGTCTGGATGTGGTTGTCTTTGTTTTGTTGGAGGTCTACTGAGCTTCTTGAATTTGTAAATTCATGTCTTTCACCCACTTTGGGAAGTTTTCTGTCATTATTTTAGGGGAAAATGTGTTCAGTCTCTCTCCTTTTCCCCCAGACTCCAATTATGTTTATTTTAGTTTTTAATATTGTCTCAAATGTCTCTGAGACTCTCTTCTTTCTTCTTGTCCAATTTTCTTCTCGTCTCAGGTTGGATCATTTCTATGGATCTATCTTCCAAGTTCATTGATTTTATTCTGACATCTTCATTCTATTCTGCTAATCCTGTGAATTTTTTATTTCAAATATATATTTTCAAGTCTAGAATTTTCACTGAGTTCTTTTTTTTAATTTTTAATGTTTTATTTATTTCTGAGAGAGAGAGACAGCATGAGCAGGGGAGGGTCAGAGAGAGAGGGAGACAGAATCCGAAGCAGGCTCCAGGCTCTGAGCTAGCTGTCAGCATAGAGCCCGATGCGGGGCTCGAATCCACGAACCATGATATCATGACCTGAGCCGAAGTCGGAAGCCCAACCAACTGAGCCACCCAGGCGCCCCATTGAGTTCTTTTTTTATATTTTCTATTTCTGTGCTGAGATTTCCTATTTTTTTGCTTATTACAAATATAATTTCCTTGAATTCATTGAGTACAGTTAAATTATGTGCCTTAAAGTTCTTGTCTGATAATTTCAACATCTGGGACATACCAGACATGATTGGTTATCTGTTATTTTGAGAATAGCTTACACATCACTGGTTCTTTACATGTTGAGTTATTTTGCATCACTGACATTGTATGTGTTATCTGAGGATCTATGGATTGTGGGCTCTGAATTCTGATGAATTTCTCTAAAGAGTGCTAACAGTTATGTTTTAGCAGACAGTGAACTTGGTTAGACTCACGTCACAAACTTTGTCTTACCATCGTGAGAAGAGCTCACATTTCAGTTCAGCTTTTCTGTTTCCCTAGCAGTTAGCTCTCTTGAGTCTTCACTGCTCATGCATGGTTCAACGATTAGCCAGGGATATGGATGGTTTATTCATAGAATTTGGGCCTCTGTTTCTTTGGCACTGTCCCTTCTGGAATTTTCTCTTTACTTTTTTCTGATTATAATTTCCACAGGGTTAGTCCTTTGGTTCTCTAGGCCAGGAAGATGGTAGTGTTTTGGCCACAACTGCAGTTTTGCCTTTAGGCTAAAACTGTAGAGTGGAAATTCATCCCATGCCAGCCTTTTCTTTTAAGTTTTGACCTTCAAACTTTGCCTGCTTTTGTTTATTCTTCAGAGCCTTTGGGTCATTGTTTTCTCCCTCCCCCCACCAAGTTCTGTGGGAGGGTCAGCCTGTTAGGAGCTGACTCAGCTATACAGGAAGTATAGTATAACCAGCTGGTTAGTTTCTGAGTTGAAGGCTGGTGTGCTCTGTCCAGCATTTGTGTGGAAAGCTGACTTGAAAGGGAAAGCTCAGTGGATGGGATAGTACAAAGACTGGTTATGGAGTTACTAGCCAGATCTGACATGATAAAGGGTAGCAGCAATATATTTTAAAGGAGCCATTTCAGTAGAAGGATTAAGTGACATCGAAGCATTGGCTATAAGGATAAATGAGAGGAGAGAGAAGTGTAGATGACTCCATCTTGGAGTATATACCCGGGTGGAAACAAATTTCTGAAGAATCAGACATCAATATAGTTTTAGGTGTGCTGATTTGGCTCAGTAGCTTCTGTGACCTGATTCTTGCTAAGGGTGAGAGATTAGAGAGGACAGATAAGCTGACTTATGAACTCCCAAGAACATGAGCAGTGAATGAGCTTGTAGAGAAACCAAACCGGAAGCAGGGATAATACATAACAGTTGTGCTGTGCTAAGACCTGTACATGTTTTGTCCCATGAAGTCTGCTCAGATCCCCTAGGAAAAAGCTTCTATTACTGCTCCCAGGCTCAGAGAAGCCAACCAGTGTGCCTAAAATTGCTCCACTGGTAAGTAGCTACACTGGGATTTGAACCCTCTCCAGCTGTAGCACTTAAGCTTTCAACTGTAGTTCTCTACTACACTCTCTAGAAGGAGAGGGTAGGGTTTTTTCTTAAGTGGAAGTGACCAACAAATTTGTAGATGTGAGAAGTCTTGGCAAGAAGACAGCCATGGATCACATATTTTTTAGGTACTGGAAAGTACAGCATCCAGCCTGTAGAGTATCAGGAAGGGACTCCGTGGCGAGGACATGGAGCATAGACCTTGGGGCCAACAAGTAGAACGCTAGAAGGAAATGGAAGAAGTGAAATGAAGAGTATTTCTTTAGTTCAGAGAAGTCCTGGGGTACATGTATGTCAGAGACATTGAAGATGGAAGAACATGTCACCACACAGATACCTGCATAGGTAGGGCCACTGTGTATACATAACTGTACACATGAACCATCTAGGGACAGGGACCTCACATAGGAGTTGTGCTGACACATCTTGACAGTATCTGCTCTTGTGTGTGATGGGCCGTTGTCACTTCCATAGTCTTTATCTCATTTGAACCTAATATTAGCCTTTCAACTATTTCTTGTTGAGGAATTTGAGCTTGGTAGTTTGCTAACAGAGGGAGAACTCAGACTTACTTCTAGAACACACATTCCTCAGTAAGGAGTAAGTTGCTAGAAAGGCAGCCCATGCTCTCCCTGTTCCTATCCAGGATTGCTACATGGGAAGTCCCACCCTTTTGGAAGTGATTAAAAAGCGGGGGTGGGGGGGCAGCTCCTTTGGCTCCTCCTCAGGGGAAGAGTAGTGACATCTTTGGTGATTGGGGGAGAGGACTCAGCCAAGTGTGGCTCAGCCCCCGTTGGGTTCCCACCTGTGGAGGGTGGGTTCTGATGCCTCCTGTTGTCAGCTTTCCAAGGCAGCTCTGCATATGCTCTAGAGCAAGGTTTGTAGTCAGACCTGGTGCCCAGGTGGACACGCTGTCTGATTCGGAGACAGTGCAGGCTTATGACCCAAGCTGCCTCTCCACCCAGCTGTACTAGAGCCAGAGCTGATCTGCCTCTGGACTCCTATGTCTCTTTCATACTTGGTTCCAAGCCTATGTCTCTTTCACACTTGGTTCCAAGCTTGTGCTGGAAAGCAAGGGGTCAGAGGGAGGAAGGCATCAGTTACTTTTTTGGCTAGTTCCCCAAGCCAGGAGGGGTTTTATGCTTTGTGGTGAGTGATGAGTGGGGTGTGAGTAATAAGAAGCAGAGACCCACTAAGCGTTGGTTTCTTCATCTGCAGGTGAATGAACAAATCAAGCTGACGGTTCTGGGCCCGGACTCTATCATAGTCACCTTCACCTCCCTAAATGAGACAGTAACACTCTCTGTATCAGCCAACAACTGTCCACATGGGGTAGCTCACGAAAAACGGGTAAGTCAAAGCAGCCCAGGTCCTCAGGCCTGACCCCAGGGTATCTCAGTGTGAATCTCCACTCCTATTTCCATGCCTGTGCTCCTCCTGCTCCTCCTGCCTCCCCCCGACCCCCACCCCAGGCAGGACCCTGCCTCTTTCTCTGGCTAATGGACTCCTACTCATCATCATTCACTACCTGACTTAGTACCACCTTCTCTGTGAAACTTCTACCCTTAGGAGTCTTTCAATAGTGATTGTATCCAATGCAGATTAGTTTAAACATGAAGAGAAACAATATTGGCTCAGTAAACTGAAAAGTCTATCAGTAGGCAGCTTTAGGCATGACTGGATCCAGGATCTCCAATGATTCCATCAGATCTTCCCATCTCTTGGCTCTGCTTTTCTCTCTGTTGGCTTCATTCTCAGAGAGATTCTCTCCTTATGGCGACAAGATGGTCATGAGCATCTCTGGGCTCATTATTCTATGAGCTTTGTTCTTCCTGGGAGAAAGAGGGCTTCTCTTTCTAAGTGCTCAGTAGAAGTACCAGCACCAGCATTGTTGCCTCTGCTTAAAACGGCCCCCATAGTCAGAAGTGCATGTTGCTCACACAGGCCAGGCTTGAGTGTCACATCCATCCTGAGAGCCAGGGCATGATCAGCCCCCAGCAATACCATCTGGGCAAAGGATGAAGCAGGAACATCATGGGGAGAGAGAGAAGGTCACTTCTATTTGCTGGGTTTTCATGGATCCTTATGTGTGCCTGGTCCATAGTTAACATTGTGGAGTGATATTGGGGGGGACACAGTCCCTGATTCCTGAGGGGTCTGCAGTCTGGTAGAGCACAGTTGACATATACCACAAGACCAGGGTAACCAAGGGCTCATTGTTGGAGCAGACCACTTGCATTGCACACAAAGCGCTTTGCTGGGATTCCCCTGGGGAAGCCTCCTTGGAAGAGTAGCAAGAGGGCCACACCTCGCAGCTTCCCCAGGGCCAGCCCCGGTTTAGACCTGCCAGCCTGGAGGAATTATTAATAGCATCGCCTTTCACTCCCAAAATTGTCCAGGTCTGCACAATCACTTATATGATCATCCAGAGGGCAGTTCACCCTCCCCGCATTCCTGTCTGGAGCTGAGCAAGGCTCTTGTGCTTGCAGGGACATTTGCCACCAAGATGCCACAGGCTCATAGACCCACCAAGCTGACAAAGCCCCTAAGGAGAAGCCAGACCCAGGTTCTCACTTTACTTGGGGACATGGAGGCAGGCATTTGCTGGGGGCCCCTGCTCTCTGAATAAGGCACACAATACCTGTGTTTCTCTTGGAGGAGAGCATTGCACCTGTTTTTGCACTGCCTTTTCATTTCAGCAGGATTTCAAGTTCATTAATTCATTAAGTAGTTCAGTAAACATTTATTAGCACTTGCAGGGTGCCAGGCTGGCTGCAGGGGATGTAGAAATGGAAGAAATCTCACTCCCTCTAGTCTCTAAGATACCTTTGGCTTGATGGAAGGGGGCACAAGCATCCACACCAGCTGAAATCGCGCTGGATTGGTGCAGCGTGCTGTGGGAGCCACTGGGGTACCAGCAGAGAGTGGGGCAGTTAAAGGGGCCTCCTAGGAGCGCCCAGGAAACTCAGATGCCTGTGACTCCAGGGTGCACTCATTGCTTCAAGGAACAAAAGGACCCCAGGGTGTTGACTCCTTCTGGACTATGATGATGGTTGTGCTTCTTGGTGAGTCCACCCTGCCTGTTTGGTTCCATGCTATCACTCTAAAAGTCGCTGTTATGTGACTAAGTGCATATGACATATGAGGTCATATGTCTACATTTCTTAAAAAGCTTTTTTAGCTGTCTAAAAAAAAGTGAGCTTACTTGTCTTACCAAAGGCAACAGATATTAGAGAATTGTTCTTTCCCATGAAATGGCAGTAATGCTTCATTTTCCTGGCAACCTCTTGTCTGGTCTTTGCTGCAGCCTGGAGCATAGCTGAGAACCAGGATGTAAGCAATTGAAGATCCCCATGAACAGCCAAGAGAGGTCACTCTATGTTTAAATACCCAACATGCCCTCTGGGACTGGGAAAGCCCCTTAGTAATTCAAGTCTTATTTTGTCTTACCTAAATGCACTCTTAGAAGCTAGACCTAGAAGTCCAAACAGAAGGCCAAGACAGAGTCCTGTCTGACATGGTAGCCCCAAGTCACAGATGGCTACTGAGCCCTCGCAGTGTGACAAGCCCAGATGGAGATGGGCCGTAGGTGAAAATGCATGCTGCATTTCAGAGACTCGGCATGGAAAGAAAATGTAAATATTTCTCATGAATACTTTGATTCTGTGTTAAAACCATAATTTTTTTGATATATTGGGTTAGGTAAATATGTTATTAGGATCAATTTCACCTTTAAGGGCTTTTTTTATGTGGGTACAGGAACGTTTACAACCACATGTGTAGCTTGTGTTTTATTTCTGCTGGACCACATGGGTCCAGAAGGTGACATCTTCATAAGGGAAACCCACAGAGGCGGTCTGCCAGCATGGTAGACAGTTGGAAGGCTCTTTAAAAGGACATCATAACTCAAAAAAAGAAAAAAACCCAACTGTCTTGGGGACATTTAGCATAAGGATAATCCGACAAATACATTAAAACAGCTTCTAGAGGGGCGCCTGAGTGGCTTAGTCGGTTAAGCGTCGGACTTTCGCTTAGGTCATGATCTCGCGGTTCGTGGGTTCGAGCCCCGCGTCGGGCTCTGTGCTGACTGCCAGCTCAGAGCCTGGAGCCTGTTTCAGTCTGTGACTCCGTCTCTCTCTGACCCTCCCCTGGTCACGCTGTCTCTCTCTCTCTCCTAGAAATAAATAAAACATTAAAAAAAAAAAAAAAAACAGCTTCTAGAAACAGTGCTGTGTTCTAGTCTGTAGTTGTCAATAATGACCCAGAAGACTGATCTGCCACATAAGTGACAAGGTCATAGCCCCTTCTGTTAGAGAACACGGATTTCTGACTAGACAAACACCAATAAATGAGGAAACATCAGCTTTATTGTGGGTAACACAATTCTCAAATGTTGACTTTAGCTGCTAGATAAGCAGCTTGGAATATTTTTGCATGAAATCCTGAGGTCCAGAAAATTGATTCACTGCAGATTCTTGGACTGTCAGAGCTGCAAGGGGCCCCTCAGAACAGCCTGATTGTGCAGGCTGGCCTAGGCTAGGGAGAGGCCACAGAGCCTTGGGATAGTCCCTTCCCTGTCTGGGCCTCAGTGTCCCCATCTTTAGAATGACATGTAAGGGCCCACCCAGCTTCCACACATTCCCATCCTGGGACTTTTACAACTCATTCAACCTCTTCTAGGTCTGTGTGTTTGGGGCTAATTATGACTTATCAGTGAAATCCATGGCAGTCTAGAAAAGCTGAGGGTCGGGTTTCAGGTGGCCTCCTCCCACAAAGTTCCCGTCACCGAGAAGCTTGTTAAATGGCTTCCCCAGACACCCATCACCTTGGAAGGAGCCACCTATCAGAGTGACAGGCAGAATGGCAATCCCAGCTTTTATAGCCCTGCAGCCAGTCTCCTCACTAAATATTTCTATCAAGGCAGCACTTTGGAAGTGAGGCTACACCTCAATTTAAATGTTTTATTAGCCCAGAGCGCCACCTCAAATCCTTATTGGAAACAGGCTGAGCATAAATTACAAAGAAATAAATAAAATTAGCCCAGAAGCAGCAGCTGAGGCCAAAAACCAGAAGGATGTTGAAGCTTTGCTATTAATTGGGGGCATCCTTTACAGAAGTCCTGCCTGCAGGACAAAGAAGGACCATAGACTGACTTCATCACACTTCAGAAAATCTGTGTTCTGTCCACCCCATTCTACTTGAGGCTTCAATTCCACAGAAGAAATTTTTTCTGCAACTGCCTTGTGTTAAGTGGGAGGTATAGAAAGCAAAGATCCTACCTTCGAAGGGCCAGCCAAGTTGAGAGATAAAGGAAACACAAAGTGACCCAGCCCAGGGTGGAAAGGACAGGAATGCACCCTTATGCAGATTTAGCATGGAGAGCACTGCCCCTGGCTGAGGAAATCAGCAAAGGCTTCCTGGAGGAAAGGTCAGACCTGACTGTCATGAACTCCAAGTTCTGAGCCTCATTCTACATGCCTCTGAAATGCTCCAGCAGAGGTAGAAGTTGAATAGCCGGCAGCCCCAGCAAGGCCTCGTCATCCTACAGGGGTCTCAGAGCCAGAATGGCCTCTCAGGGTAGTCCCGAACTGGGGCAGGAGGCCTGGGCCTCCTTGCCCTACAGGAGCTGATCTGTATAACCTTGATCGCAGGCAGTTTCTCATCTGAGATGTTCTGGCCACTGTAGGGGACAAAGGGACTCTGGGGAATGCATCTAGAGGGGGACTGGCAGCAAGGACTGCAAAGAGGCCCTCGTCTGTCTAATTATTCATAGTGCAACAAGCATTAATTGAGCACCTTCTGCATGACAGGCACTCCGACACCAAAGAGACCAAGATTCGGTCCCTGCCCTCGAAGAGCTTACTGTCCAGTGGGGGAGACAGCCTCCCATGCATCCAGCTGCTTCATAACGGGCTAACTTTTGACCTCAGGCTACAGAGAGAGCAAGGAACAATTTTGCCCAGTAGAATCCAGGAAGCCCTCTGAGGAGGGGACATTTGAGTCAGGTTGGGCTGATGTGCAGGAATTCACATAGCGGGGGATGGGGGGGTGGGGAGGGGGGGCAGACAGGGAGCAGGATGTGTCCCAAGCAGAGGGGGACAGTACATCCTGCAAGCTAGAGCCAGGCCTAGGTGTTGGGGGGCTAGGCCAGTGGCTCCTGGGCTCCTGGCGCAGAGGCAACGATGCTCTCCCCCTTGGCTTCTCCCCAGCTGCTGACCCGCATAGACGACAAAGTGTCCAAGATGAGCCGAGCCCTAGCGGAGATCAAGAAGCGGTTTCAAAAGACAGTGTCACAGTTTACGAATTCTATCTTGTTGGCAGCAGGTAAGGGGCAAAAAAGTAGATAACCTCCTAAACCCTGGGTCACCTGCAAGGCATCTCTGAGGACAGATTTTTATTACCTTGGGAGGTGGGTGGGCAGGGCGACCTCCCCATCAGTAGATGGGGTGACAAGGCTCAGGCTCCCACAGCAAGGGTGCTTGTTCAGGGCCATGCCTCAAGTAGTGGTGGCCTTCGCCACCTTCAGGTTTCTGAGCACAGTCCCGTGTGTCCTCAGTGTCTCCTGCGGTTGTCTTATTTCCCTGCACCTTCCATCACTGTCCCCGCTCCCATATCTGGTTCACCTCACAGCTCTGTCTCCCGTATTGTTCGTCATCCGTTTGTAGACCCTGTTCCTCTCCTTGCAGACAATCTCAGTAGAAGAGAAAAGAGCAGCCAGCTCACCAGGCTGTCCTTGTTAGGCCAGCATGGTGACCTCAGGACTGTTCCCACATCTTTCCTTTCCTCCTGCTGATGGGCCTGGGCACAGAGAAACTCTCTGGCTGGGTGCCAGAGGGCTGTGCTCCAAGGAGATTTTCCTCATCCCTGAGAAACTCAGTTCAACTGCACCCCTCCTCCAGAAAGGCTTCCCCGATTCCCACAGCTGAATGGGTCACATGCTCCCTTGGGTTCCCACAGCATATGTAAAATGTGCTCTAATTATAAATCTTACTCCCTAGCATTATGAATATTTCTTTGTTTGCCCATCTCCCCCTGTGTCCTTGCTAGGAGTTCGCAGAGGCAGGGAACCCTGTTTAGGGTCATGTCTATATGCCTAGCATCCAATAAATGTCTGGTAAGTGAATGAAGGAATGAAAGCTCCCAAGCCTCAGAAGTTTTCAAGTCTAGTAGGAAAAGCAAAACAAGAACAGAAATAAATACAGCAAAGAAAGTAGATGGAAATTACTTAAATCTGAAGATACAGGGAACAGCATTCTCAGGGAAGAGAACAGCATGGGTACATTGTGTACCCAGGCTCTATGAGTGCTGTGGCGGACACAGAACTGAATGAAACATAGGCTACTTGTCAGAAGAGGGATCTCAGCTGGGTCTTGACAAATGACTAGAAATGAAATTGATTTCTCCTTACATTCAGCCAGCATTTACCAATCCACTAACTGTACTAGAGTGGAGTTCTGTGCCAGACAGCAGAAGGGAGGTGGCCCGGCTGGAGAAAGTGCAAGAGTGGAGGAATGGAGGGGAAGATGAGCTGAAGGGCTGCTGATACACAGAGCCTCATAGCAGAGCAGGGAAGGCTCGGCGAGGGAGAGTGACAGCCATGTCTTCTGTTAACAGGCCTACTCACCATAGAATACACAGTTAAGGAAGACACAGAAAGCAATCGAAGCAAGGTAAAATAGGGTCCCCATCTTGAGCGAGGCCCCAAGCCAAGTTTATACTCAGGAGAAGTCCTTTTATTACGATCTCGGTCAGCCCGGCCCGAATCCTCAATTGAAGAGTCATCGAGAGAAGAGCGTGGGTCTGTTTCTGTGAGCCCCACTCGGAGGAGGACCATCAAGATGCAAGGCAAAGCCATGATCACAACCAGATGGGCTTAGGCCTTCGTTTCCTCTGGCCCCCATGGGTCAGACATTGTGATGGGCAGTGGGCACACAATGAAGAACAAAACAGAGGAGGCCCTTCCCTCTTGGACCTGAAATTTTAGGGGTGTGAGAGGATAGACAATAACCACATGAAGAGTTGAAGTCATTTTAGGTTGTGATACAGGCTAGGAAGAAAGTAAATCAGGGTCACCTTAAAGCAGAGGTTGGCAACCTAGAGCATTCACCAAACCTGGCCCCACTGCCTACCTTTTTATGGGTAAGCTAAGTAAGAAGAGTTTTTAGCTTCTTAAATGCTTAGGGGGAAAAGAACAAAAGAAGAATATTTTATGAAATGTGAAATGAAATACAATTTAAATTGCAGGATCCATAAGTAAGGTTTTATTGCAACAGCCCTGCCCACTCATTTGCATATTGCCCGTAGTTGCTTTCCCGCTAAGACAGAAATGTTAAATAATTATGACTAAGACCATCTAGCCTGCAGAAACTGGAATGTTTACTATTTGGCCCTTTATGGAAAATTTTGGCTAATGCTAAGGATGGAGAGTGACTGTGAAGTCGGGGGGAGGTGCTAAATTAGATAGCCAGTCAGTGAACGCAGTTCTGAGAAAGTGATACTTACATGGGGACCCATGAAGGACATTGAGGAGGGCACTTGTGGGAATGAGCACTGGGAGTTGTATACGAGCCATGAATCATGGGAGTCTACTCCCTAAACCGAGAGCGCACTGTATACACAGTATGTCAGCTAACTTGACAATAAATTCCATTTAGAAAAACAAGAATACTTTTTACTGTATTGCTTTAAAAAATGTAAATGAGGACCCACGATGAGAAATATGTAGCCACAGAGAAGGACAGGAAAGGAGTGGCAGGCAGAGGGTAGAGAAGTATAGAAACCTGTGACGAGAACAGGTCTGGTATGTGTGAGGGCAAGTAAGTAGACCAGCGCAGAGAATGCTGATGAAGAGGGGACACAGCTGGAAAGGAGAACAGAGAGGTAGCCGGGAGCCAGGTCAGGTGACCTTGTTTGTGTTATCGGAAACCATTCTGTAACTTTAAGACAGGAAGTGACATCATCAGACTTATGGGTTTTTGTTTTAACTTTAAAAAATAGATAAAATATATGTCTTTGATATTTTCCTATTTTAATTTTATATAATATCAGTATATATTTTCTATATACATATAAATACAGAAAAATGAACGAATCCTAAGTGTATATAGCTCAGTGCATGTCACAAAGTGAACATACCCTATAATCAAATCAAGAAATAGAACATTAAATACTCTCTTGTCCCCTCCCACGGCTTCCTCCCCGAAGGGAAGAGTTCTAGGTTGTAGATTAGTGCTTGTGTTATTTTTAACTTCATTGAAATGGAACCATAGTATTGAGTATATAACTGGCATCTAGTCTCTTTTGCTCAACGTTATAATTTTGTGTGTAGCAGTATTTTGCTGTGCAATATTCTATTATCTGAATACACTACAAATTATGCATTCTAATGTTAATGAGTATCTGGGTTGTTTACAGTTTTGGTAGTGACAAACTGTGCTAGTGTTAGCGTGTGTCCTTAACTATTGTTGGTATGTGCCTGGAAGTGAGGTTGCTGTCCTAGGGTAGGTACATGACCCACTTCTAGTACAGTCTGTGCATATTCTGGAGTGGCGGTATCGATGTCACTCCCGGCAGCAGCAGTTAAGAGCTCCAGTTGCTCCCTATCCTCACTAATGCTTGGCATTTCCCTGGGGGTTGTCGAGGTTGAGCACCCTTTTGACTGTTAATTACCATTTTGGATATTCTCTTTTAGAAAGTGCCTGTTTACCTCTCTTGTCCATTTTTGTGCTAGTCATTTGCCTTTTCCTGATTTATATTTTGGAGTTCTTTGTATGTGGTGGGTACAAGACTTTTGTCCATTATGCATGTTGCAAATTATCTCAGGTTTACTCTGGTAATGGTGTCTATTGAGAAACAGAAGTTGGCAGTTTTAATGTCCAATTTTCAATATTTTTCTTTATAATTAGCTTTTTATATCCTATTCAAGAACTTTCGTCTTCAGAGAACATGACAATAGTCAACAAAGTAACTTTCCTAGTAGCTTTTTTGTTTTAACTTTTACATTGTATCTGTCTTCCACCTGGAAATTTCTGTGGTCTGATATAGGAGCTAAGTTTTAATTTTTTTCCATCTATATCTATATATCTGTATCTATCTATATCTATCTTACCAATCCAGCATCTCCTCCTTTTGAAAAGATGGTCATTTCCCTAAGGCTTTTTGGTGCAAACTGTCACAAATTAAGGGGCTCTGTTTGTATAAATCAGAGGACATTTTCTGGACTCCCTGTTTTGTTTCCTATTTCTCCAGTCTCTTACCAATACCAAACTGTCCAATTAATTATCATAGCTTTATGATAAGTACTGACATATAGCAGAGTATGTACTCACACTTTGTTGTTCTAAATTGTTTTGCTGTTCTTTGCCCTTTATATTTCCATATAGGTTTAGAATCACCTTGTTGGTTTAAAAAATATACCTTGGAATTTCAACTGGATTGTTAATGTCTTTGTAATATTGGAGTAATTCAATCCATGAATATGGTATAGCTTTTTCCTTATTTATTTATGTCTTCTCTAATCTCTCTCCGGTTTGTAGTTTTCAACACAGAGGACTTATGTGTCTTTCATCAGGTCTATTTTAGAGTTTTTAATAGTTTTTGTTGCTATTATAAATTATGTTTTTAATTTAATTTTTAATTTGTTGGTGGTTATAGAAAGGCCATTGATTATATCACAATTTAAATTCACTTTTAATTTACTTACAGTAAAACTTACCCTTTTTGGTGTATAAGTCTATGAGTTTTGACAAATGTGTGGAGTTGTATGACCACCACCATAGCCAAGACATAGAACAACAGAACAGTTTTATTACCTCCCACCCCCCCCACACACACAAATTCCCTCATGCCGCTCCTCTGTAGTCAAACTCTTCACTCACCCTTAATCCCTAACAACCACTGACCTGTTCTTTGAAGCTATAGTTTTGTATTCTCTAAAATGTTATATAAAAGGAATTATACTATGTATGGCCTTTTGAGTCTAGCTTCTTTCAGTTAGCCTAATGCATGAAAAATTTATCCATGTTGTTGCATGTATCAACAGTTCATTTATTTCTATTGCTGAGTAGTATTCTATTTCAGGGGACCCCAACACTACTCCCACATTCAGAGATTTACCACAAATCATGGTATTCAGCATATAGGAACACTCATGTATAAGGTTTATTATAGTGAAAGGATACATGATAACATCAGCAAGGTTAAAAGACACAGGTAGAATCTGGATAAACCCACACAGACTTCTTTAAGCTCTCTCCCTCTTGTGAAGGGCTGCACCAAGCATGTTCCTTTCTCTAGCAGGGAAAAATGTGAAAATGTAGTAATGAATGCAATAACTCTGCCCAAGGATGCCCATTAAAGGCTGAGAACCCAAGGTTTTTATTGAGTAATGGTCACAGAGACACTCTCTGCCCAGCAAATATCAAAGTTCCAGACTACTAAGTTGTTGGTCCGAGTGTTGTGGGTTATCGTTAAGCTGATTAACAAAGTTCCAGACTGCTAGAAGGAAAGCAGGTGTTCAACATAAATCACGCTGTTGACACAGTGTGGGCAGAGTGTAGCAAATGGTTCAAGTGCCAGGTTTCTAGACACCAGCAAGGGGCCAACCTTGTAAAGCAGGTCCTTCTAAAGATAGCAGCCTTCTATGTTAACTCTTTTGTGGATGTACTACATGGCTTGGATGGGCAGAATAGTTATTTATCTATTTGCCTATGAAAAGACATTTGGAATATTTTCCATTTTTGGTGATTATGAATACAGTTGCTATAAATACCCAAGAACTTTATGTGAGCTTGGGCTTTCAATTTACTTAGGTTAATACTTAAGAGATAGACTGCTGGGTTGTATGTAAATCTATGTTTAACTCTATAAGAAACTGCCAAATCGCCTTCCCAAGTAGCTGTACCATTATACATTACCATCAGCAAAATGTGAAGATTCCAGCTGTTCTAAATCTTTGTCAGCAATTGACATCATCAACTTTAAAAAAATATTTTATCCATTCTAATAGATGTGCAGTGACATCTCATTATCATTTTAATTTGCATGTCTCTAATAACTAATGATGTTGAACATCTTTCCATGGGCTTACTTACCATTATTTGGTAAAATGTCTGTTCAGATCTTTTGCACATTTTTAAATTGGGCTCTTTGTACTGTTGAGTTTTGAGAGTGCCTTATTCTGGATATAAGTCCTTTATCAGAAACATGACTTGAAATATTTCCCCCAGTCTGTGGCTTGTTTTTCATTCTCTTAACTTTTTTTTTTTTTAAAAAAAATTATTTTGATGTAGTCTAATTTATTTATTTTTTCTCTTCTGGATTGTGCTTTTAGTATCATGTCTAAAAACTCTTTGCCTGAGCCAGTGGTTCTCAACCAGAGATGATTCTGACCCCCAGCCAAATTTTGAGACTTTTTTCTAAGTTTATTTCTTTATTTTGAGAGAGAATGTGCATGCACAGGCATGTGCACACACATGAGTGCGCAGGGGAGGCACAAATAGGGAGAGAGAGAATCTTACATTGACAGCACGGAGCTCTACATGGTTTCAATCCTACTAGCTGTGAGATCATGACCTGAGCTGAAATCAAGAGTCAGATGCTTAACTGGTGAGCCACTCAGATACCCTGGAGACATTTTTTAATGGTTACAATGTGGGAGGGAGGGCTACTGTTTCTAGTGAGAAGAGGTCAGAGATGCTGCTAAACATCCTGCCATGTGCAAAATGACTTGCAACACCACACCCAAGAAAGAGTTATGTGGTCCAAAATGTCAGTAGTGCTGACTGAGAAAACCTGGTCTCACCCAATGTCACAAAGTTATTCTTCAAAGCTTTATGGTTTTATGTTTTATATCTAGGCCTATGATCTATTCTGAATT